GTGCTTAGTCTCATGACTTCTAGGCTTGGAGCTGGAGAGTCCAGAGGGGAAGTAACTTTATGTTACTCACTCTCGGGAACAGGCGTAGGCAGACAAGTGTAACATTAAAACTTCTTAATTGTTCTGTAATGTGTGTGAACTTCCCTTTTAGTTGTGTGATTTTTGATGTGAATCTAAAAACTGAAAGTTGCATTGCATGTATTCCTTCCTCTGCATGTTGGGTGCTGATGACAGTCACCTGAGATTATACCACCTGCATGTTACACAGTGGTAGTTACTATAAAACAGATAAAGAAGAGTGAAGCGAATCCGGGAAAGGAAAATGCATTCTTGTCTTCTACTGATTAACAAAAGAGTACAAATTCAGTGTATCAACTATATACTTTATATATTTATATACACTAGAGCAGACATTGCCAGATGCATAGTGGGAAAATATTTCTAGGAACAGTTTTCTGTCTATAATACAGTATTACATCTATAAAATATAACACACCAGTTTTCCAAATATTAAAATATGTAATGCTTTAATAATAAAACTAAACTAAACTCTGACTTTTACATTTAACTGTTCCCTCCTGGTGGAATGACCTGCCCAACTCAATCTGAGCAGCTGAGTCCTTAACCATCTTCAAGAAACGGCTAAAAACACATCTCTTCCATCTTTATTTGACCCTCTAACTCTAGCACTCTCTGTTCTAATTCTATTCTCTAATTCTATTATTGATTCTATTCTATCTGTTTTCTTTTTATTTATTATATAATTTAAAAAAATACCCTTGCTACGTGTACTGCGTTAGGCTAACTGAGACTTGTTATAGCACTTGTATTTCATTGCTCTTTTGTTGATTTTGATTGCTTCCATTGTCCTCATTTGTAAGTCGCTTTGGATAAAAGCATCTGCTAAATGACTAAATGTAAACTAGCTGTTTGGAATTGATCTGAGTGTATTATAATAATAGTAACATCAACCATGCAATAAACAAATGTAACTTGACATAAAAAAAAAACTATTAAAAGCTAAAACTACATAAATACTATGTTTAATTATACAAATGTATAATTAAACTAGATAAACAGCTTATATTATTCCAGTATGTGGCTGATTTGACTGGGAAATCTGAATCCACATATATATTTAACAAGGTGTTTAGGATGACCCGGATGGTTGAGAGGGTTAATGTATGTGGTGCCGTTGGATGTCGCTGTATTTCTTCATATTTCTTTTTTTTATTGTCTACGTGGCACTCTCTCATCTGCTGTCCCATACTGCTCCCTATTGGTTATCTGTGTCCAGCATCGCTGAAACCCAAACGAATCACTTGACTGAAGTTTAAATGTGTCTTCATTTTCGTTTGTCAGTCTCGTCTGGTTATGTTACGAGCGCGTATGGCTTGTTTGCTCGCGGAATATTTACGGATATGCAATTATATTGCGCATATGTATTTTCTCAAAACAACTGTAGGGGGCACCCGGATTTGAACCGGGGACCTCTTGATCTGCAGTCAAATGCTCTACCACTGAGCTATACCCCCATCCACGATAACTCACCATTATGTGGCAACCTATTTATATATAATATGTATAAAATTAATGACATTTCCGTAGACTGTTTGATCATCAGTTTAATACATTCATGAATCATAACGCATGGATGATTCCACACAAAAGGCAGTTTCATCCTCACAAAGGCTCTTTATTTTGAAAATCAGTCATTCATGAACATCCTTTGACAAAATAGATGAATTTGATAATAGTGTCCATTACACTGGGAGTTTGTAAACAGTTATTTGCAGAAATTCTACACAGAGGAACAGAAAAATGAAAAATAATAGCCAGACATCCATAGACCTTGGGGTTTAGTGCTACTGTTTCAGCCTGTTTTGGGACAAATACATTTGAACAGTGGCTTCTAAATGAAAGGGAAGAAACAATAGTGTGGTGTAGGGTTTGTGTCAGCTGCTATGCTACAGGAACAGTGTTTGTGTGACACAGAGATGGGTGAGGTCTCATCTTGTAAGTGTATCCTCCAGTGAATTCCCACCATGATCCCATTAACAGAGCTTCTTCCTGTAACAACATGTAGTGCAAATATGAGCACAACAACATGATCAGGTAGGATACACCTTCATCTGTGGTCACGCATAGAAAGAGGCCTAGTAATATTCTCAACATTATGTATTGTGCTATTTATTAATTATTATTTAAAAATTAGTATTATTATTATTTTGCAGCAGGCCTATGCACATTTCGAAAAAAATAGGCTTCATCATTAATTTGTATTATTTAACCATAACCAAAACCTGCCTTACTTCGCTCTGCAATTCCAAAATCATCAAGTACAGCTGACATAAACAACACAATGAATGCTATTTTTCTCGATGAAATGTAAAAAAAAAAATACAATTAGCTAGAAATCCATCGCCAACCTCTGAGCTCAGACGGCTCCCGTGAATCACGCGTCCGCTCTCAGGGCGGTGCATCCGTGCTGCCGTGATCAGATCAGAGCACGTAGATGATGTAGGACAGGAGCACAAGGCCGATGATGGCGAAGAACATCAACAGCAGCACATCCAGCATGATGCTCGCGGAGCAGCGGGTCCAAAAGATGCGCAGGATGCTCGGTCTCGATGACGGCTGTGTCCGCTGGACTGGACTGGACTGGAGACCCTCCTCCTCCCTTCTAGAAAGATGCAGCCAGCAGCAAATGGGGCCAAGCGCTGGAAATCAGATTCTTCCTCTTTTGTAGCGTGCAGACTAGGTTTATTAGGAGCAAACCAGGCTGTACTATTCGGAAAGATGAAGGCAACTACATAATAATAATAAAAAGTCATATTTTATATGGGACCTTTAGAATTTGAGTGATTATCAGGGATAAGAGATTAAATTAGTTAGACAATTGCGTTACATTTGAAAATTGAGAGGGACGCGTCTGATTCGCAGGAGTTTTGACTTCAAATGCATGTTTAGATGGAGAACCGCACTGTAAAAAATGCAACTGCGTATTTTCCAGTTTACGAAACCTTTTGAGTCTCAAATACTAAAAAAATGCAATTTTCTTAAAACTACATACAAACCCTTGTCAGGCCAACAAAATCACCATACAAATTGTTGTCCCAACTAGGCGGACAGTTTTCTGAACAAATAATTTTTATACTGTTGAAATGTTAAGGCTGTGAGTTCCCAGCATGCATTGCAGCATGAATCAATTATGCAGCTACTGTTATATGATTATTTTGCTGTTTGCTGACTTAATTTAAACTTTTTTGTTGTTATTTTGTCATTATTGTTAGTAATTTGTTGTACTGTGATGTAAAGAGCTAATATTTTTAACAATTGTTGATTGCCACCTTTCTTAATTGTGTGTCTTAATTCATAATTGTGTGTCTAGTTTTGAGGCCTAAAGTATGTTCAACCAACTGAATTCATTTTATGGATTTTATAGTCTTGTAAGATATTTTACGAATGAAGACAGTGTTGTTTACTTACACATTATATTAAGATATCCATTAAGATTTCTAAAACAGTTCACCGTTTGTCATTGGTTAATAAACAAAATTGATAATGTGGTGACTTCTTACACATTCTTTTTTTTCATCCAGGAAATAAATTACCTCAACGACAGTAATTGTTGTTTCAGTTTATGTGACAAGAATTTTTCTATTAGTAAAATAAGACAATCGGCATCGCATGAACAAACAAATTTACGTTGGCTAAACAAAGTATCCTTACTTAGAGCTAAAAAACTATTGTTGAGAGAACTCAAACAAGTCTTACTGCATCCTTATTTTCTTTTTACGTTTTCTCAACTATTTATTTTCTTTACATTGCATGACTTGCATGAGGGCAAGCATTGAGTTTACACATACAAGGCTTTTTTTGACACGAGTGTCATATTCTCCTCCATATTTTCCACCTTTTAGTTCCTTTTCAAAATCCTTGCTGTTTATTTTTGGGTGATTTGTCGTTTATTAATGACCATTACTAACAATGAGACGATATACTATACTGTCAAAGATTTTCCACCAAAGAAGAACAATCTACTCGAGCTTGAGCTAAAATTGTTAAGATGCATTGGAATAAAAAGATGAAAAAGATCTTGGATAAATTTAGGATATTTACATATCTTGTTGTATCCCTTAGATGTCTTACCAAAAGAAAAACTCTGCACTGCATAAATGTTTTAGAAAGGTGAAAGTACATGAAATGAAGAAATTGATCCTTTTTTCAGCAAGTATGCATTAAAATCAATCAAAAGTGACAGTAAAGACATTTATAATGTTGTAATATTCATTGATGTTATAATATTGAGCAGCACAACTGCTTCAACATGATAGTAATGATAAATGTTTCTAATAATCATATTAGAATTATTTCTGAAGGATCATGTGACACTGAAGAAGACCGAGTAATGATGCTGAGAATTAGGCTTTACCATCAAAGGAATACATGAAATTAAAACTTATTTTCAATTGTAATAATATTTAGCAATATTACAGTTTTCATTTTATTTTCGATTAAATGAATGCAGTCTTGGTGAGTACAAGAATTTTTTTTCAAAATCATTTAAAAATCTTACAGACCCCACAAACCTTTGAATGCAGCAGCTTTGTAAATATGAAATGGTTATAATGTGCAGAATAAGGTGTTTGAGGGGGTGCTGTACAGAACTGGAGAAACACTGGTGACAGTGGACTGATAGATATGGAAGATTTCTGGAGAATATGTTTTACAGAAGAGTAAAAATCAAATGAGTAACCCAGATATTATACCTTTGAAGTAGCAATAGTGAAAACAGTGTCTTGAGAAAGCAAAACACTTACTTTGATCATTCTCTGCATCTATATTTTGGCATTTTAGAGAACAATGAACAGTAGAATCTCATTAGAGTCTTTGCACAGTAACATTGTTTCCAGTTAGAGAGAAATACATGCAAAGCTCCAAAACATTCAAATATCATTAACAACTCCGTCCGTTTGACAAACCCGCCTGCCTTGGTATACAAATAGATTTTTTTATTCCACTGATATTGATAAATTGACATTAAAATTCCGTCTTGTACAATACCAGCAAGGCAATGAGAATAAGCAATGATATGAGGAAAAAACAAAAACATTAATAACAACGTCTTACAGAACAGCTCTGAGATACAGTTTGATACAATGCACATGGAATGTTCCAGAACCGAAATGGAATGATTAAAATCCAAAGCTAAAATGGTCCATAGAATTGTGCTTGGGCTCCTCTCTTCTCTCACTATTCTACAATGCTGTTCTGCTCCTCGCTTGCTATGTGACTATATAGATTCTATTTTTTTCCCTTTATGAACAACAAAATACATCACTATTTTCTCGCATTTTTAAAAGCAAGAGCTGCAGAACAAAATGACACTCATATATTAGAAGTAATTCTGTAAAGGGCTAGAGGAATGTGAAGGAGCTTAAGTGAATATGTAAGTATCAAAAGGCTCCATCCTTTTCATACAGTTTAAGGAATGTCCAGTTGAAAAAGAGGAGCCTTTTCTAGATTCCAGTTCCAACACATGATGCAAATGGTCAGACGTATGGAATGAAAATTGGAATGACCAGAAGTCTCATTATCAAGAATTGTTACTCATAGACCCACAGCCGATGAGATGTGAAACTGTACTGGATACATTACAATTACAAGCTGCAAATAAAATAAGAAACAATGAATTTATATATATATATATATAAAAATTTGACAACTGAAGTTCGGACCAGATTCTTTCACAAACTGTCATAGCAACTGATAAGATAAGTGTGTTGAGATGTCTGCGAAGTGCTCTATAGCAGGCCCTAAATATTTTAGAGGCCCGTGTGGTCATGTATTTTGAAGGTTGGTGTATGAGAGTCTTGTTAAGACTTAAGCGCCACTTGTGACAGCACCTTTCCAGGACTGAGGAAACACTTACTAAAAAGACAAACAGTCAGACAGATAGACAGCAAAAGCAATAGACAAGAGAGAAAAAGATGGGTGGAAGTAGTAAATCATTCACTATTTATGCGCTGTTGCCGTGTATGATTACGTACTGAACTATGTTTGTTTTGGATCATAACCGGGTCATAGAGGCCGACCCCTGATAGGACAGTTAGTGCAGGAAAAGAAGAGGAAAAAGATGAGATCTTGAAAGGTGAGATGGCACTCGGCTAATCATCTGCGTCTTTCTGCCGCAACCCCCTCTTTTTCTTTTCCTCCCTTCCCCCTTTCTCTATTTATGTTCAGATGGCCTCTACATAGTTAGCCGGCAGCATCCCCTGCTGGCCGGTGCGCTCCACTCTTCCATACATCCACCCCTCATCGATCTGCTGCACATCCATGATCATGTCACCATCCAGGAACGACACCTCGTCCTCATCAGCTGCGGTGTAGTCATACACCGCTCGGTAGCGCTTCTGGAACACACACACACACAAATGCAAAGAAGACTGTAAGGGCTTGAAAAGAAGGAGTGTGTAGGACAGTGTGTATGAGAGAGTTTATTACCCCAGAGCTGGGAGGAGCGGCGGCAGCGGCCTGACGCACGGGCTCAGGCTCAAAGTGATAGTTCTGAGATGCTGCCGAGTGCTGATATGCTACCAGAGAAAAATGTGATTATTTTATGGCCCATGTGAAACTGAGATGTTCATGATCTTCCAGAAGAACAGACAACAAGCGAAAGTGTACCTGGAGGTGTGTTTTGTTGAGGTGTTTGTGGGTGCTGAGGTGGGCCTTCCCCTCCCATCCGGCCCTTCTCAAAATCCTCATGGTACTTAATCTAAAACACACGGAGACATATACAGTGTGACAAAACAGACTTACATAAACATACGTACAAACATTCACAATGTTGTTGTGAATTCTGCTAAATATGTCAACAAAGTAACATTATTTAGCTGGATAACACGGTGAAAATTGTGAGAATTATTTGTTATAAGGAGCAGATGTCTTGGAGCTGTTAAGACAGGTTGAAACTGATAAACATACGCAACATATGACAATTTCCAATAAAAATGTGTACAAGATAACGGCTGTAAAATTGTCAGCAAAGCATCTGTTGTAAAGCAAAGGTGAAATATTTTAATTACATTTTTTTTACATATAAAAATGTATCATTTTATATTGTATAATAATTTGTAAAGCAGCAAAGCTAGTTAAAATGTTGGCAGGGCAAGAACAAAAAATTAACTACTGTCAATCAGGCCATCAGAAAAAAAAAACAATACAAGCACAAATAAATGTAGCTAATGTGTTTAAAACATGTTAAATTGATATTGTAATATGTATTATTATTTATTTATGATTTAACGCCATGTCAGCAGCAGTGGCTATATTCATGGCAAGAGGAAACATTTCAATTTCACAATTCAGTCATATATATCATTTCAAAACAATTATATAACAGTTTTGTTTGAAAATTATATATATAAATAAATAAATAAATATGTACAAATATACAAAAACATATATATAATAAAAATAATAAGAACAAAAGTTATTGTAATATGTATCTATTATGCAAGTTGGTAATCATGCACGTTTAGATCCTGTAAGACTTTGTTTTTCAAGCTTATGCTCAACAAGGCTGCATTTATTTGATCAAAAACAATGTAAAAACATCAATTTTGTAAAAATGTATTACAATTTAAAAGGAAAGTTTTGTATTTGAATATATTTCAAAATGTAATTTATTCCTGTGATGCAAAGCAGAATTTTCAGCATCATTACTCCAGTATTTAGTGTCACATGATCCTTCAGAAATCAGTCTAATTACTGATTTGGGGCTTAAGATGCATTTCTTATCATTTTTTATGTTAAAACCATTGTGCTGCTTAATATATTTGTGAAAAACATGACACTTTTTTGGATTCTTTGATACGTTAATATTTATATAATATCATGTACTGTCACTTTTTATCGGTTTTGTTTTTCACCCTTGCTGAAAAAAATAAAACATCTGACCCCAAACTTTTGAATAGTAGTGTATGATAACTTCACTGTCAGTGTACTAAAATCAATCATAGAGCCCAATGAAGACAACAACACTGCTATCCATTTTACAGACACACCCACAAACTGAGTGGTGGGCTCTTTGGGTTAGCGGTTCAGACTAAATTAACTGCAGGAAACTGAGGTGAGGAAGAAAAAAAACTGAATGCACGAAGCATACAGATGCAATGCTCTCTCATAATTAAACCACTCAGAAAACAGTCCTTCATTTTGTAAAGTGGTGGTTTCAGCAAAAAGGTTTTAATTTAATTAAACTGTATTCTGCGCCAGGGTGACAACTAATAGTAATTCCTGCATCATCCACAAGGTGTCTCCTGAGCCAGAAAATGGAGTGGCATCTTGCATCTTTCATACTGACAGGAAATGACATTGCAAAAAGGAAGTTTGGGGACATAAATGTTACCAGGCAACCAGGGCAGATACTTCAGTGAACAGGTGTGGTGTGAAAGACGAAGAGGAAGGGTGGGACTAAATAAGTGCTTCATTAAAGTCAAATAATTATTACTTCTTGTTAACAATTCATTAATAAACAATGAAAGGAGATTACGATAGATAAACGGTGTATCTTTCTGTTTGCTGGAGAGTAATAGATTGGGAGGTACAAGACAAAAAGCAAATTTAACAGCTTAAAAAAGAGAAAATATGAAGCACAGAAAAGTGAGTAATATGTCAAAAGAGAGAAATACACAGGTGTTGGACCTACGTTGCTGATTTGGTCTTGTGTTTTCTTGATTCTCTGCAACTCTGGTGTGTCGGCTACAACGCTGAAGCCCTTTCCTTTGTTCTTCTCAAATTCCTCCTTGTAGAGCACCTGCAACACAAACACACACAGAATGTAGTAACAAATATCCAATTAATCATAACTGTTCATTACATGTGTAACAGGTTCCCAGATATACTTCCCTCTTTTTATATCGGCATATATGAAGCTTAGTTAATGGATAATCATAACACTTGCCATTTTCCACATTCCACAGGGTAAAAAGGCCCTCAAACTCTTATAAAATCTTCATTTTTCTTTTTTAATGAATGGTCAGTGAAAGTAGGTGCATAACATCAACATCAACATTTTATGAGACATTTCATTTTCTATTAATGTTATTCAATCTGTTTGGGTCTAAATACAGTTGAAAACCCTGATTTGTGTGATTTTGTAATTAGCTAGCAATAAATGAATGTTAAATGATATACATAAATAAACAAAAACAATCATACAATAAAATGAGTATAATGTTACAAGAAACAGTTGCAAACTAGTCTCAGTGAAGCTGTTATACAGTAGGGGCTAGCTTGTGAACAAATGTTGGTTGACAGCTACTGGTGAACTTGTATTTTCCATAAATTAAATATTTGCTTGTTCCTTTTTTTCCTGACAGTAACACAGATAAGCAGGCTTTAATGGTTTATCTTTACTAATGCAGTCAACACAAAAAAAATTGTAACAACTGAGAAAATGGAATTAAATGTCATGATGTTTTGATTTTAATCATTGCTTAGATAACAGTTTATCAGATATACTGTATCTAATAGTTCTCGCAATGGGCTGTGCAAATAATTAGTGCTTTCAGATGGAGCGGCATTTACTACACAGAGCCGTAGTTCACTGACAAGCTACGCAATATCGCGTTCATAATCAAATGCGATTCATCTGCGATTATGAACGCGATAATGCCTAATTGTCAGTGAACTACGGCTCTGTGTAGTAAATGCCGCTCCATCTGAAAGCACGTGATGGAGATTTACTACTAATCACGGAACCGGCTTTACTGACCAGATGCGCATGACAATTGCATGCGATTAATTGCACAGCCCTAGTTCTCACTAAAAAACATGGGATTTGTGCCTCTAATGGAATGTCATAACACACCAAAATGTTATGAGCGCCACATAGTTGTTACTCACACAAGAGCAGTGTTTTAGGGGGCTTTCCCACTAGCATTTTAGTTCGAAACTGGGCACGGTTCACATGAAAAAAATGGTAATGTGAAAGCTGTTACCAGGGTACCAAACATGAGACTACCTGAAGAAGATGGTCTGAGTTTGGTTGCAGTGAAGCTGTGGCGTGGTTTGCGTGACTGAAAGCAACTCGGACTCGGGTGTGTGCTTGATCAGGAAGTAAAGTGACACACAAATGCGTTTTGGCCAATGACAACGTCATTAGTTTATACAAAACTTGTAAGGGATGACAGTGGTGATGATTTACCTTTGATACAGTGACTACAATCAGAGTGGTATGCAAGTATAGAGCGTATGCGAATGCTGGCGTCGTGTCATACCTGGCTCTGCATCTTGCTTTGCTGTTTCAGGCGCAGGTTCTCCGGAGTGTCGGCAACACTGGTGAATGACGTCTTCGGATAGTGTCTGAAATACACACACAGAGCCATTTAGCTAACATCAGCATTTGAAACCCAGTTTTGAATCCAGATTCGCAACTAACATCTCAGTATTTCTCCTAGTTGAATTACCAAAAACTGTATTTTTAATTATTATAATTTTTGCCAGTCACCAAATGTTAGGTAACACCTTTAATGCATGAACTATTTGGGTTAATTTTATTTTATAATAATGGGCTTTTCATGACAATGACTTATCAAGGCTATCGGGATGCTTTTTATCCGTGTTACTTGCTGCTAAAGACAAAGATCATGAATTAGTGACTGTGAAGGTGAATGTCCACATTTGCTTATCGCTGATCTGTGTGGGGATAGTGAAGACGCAGAAGTGTCATTTGAGCCTTGTGTAAACAAGGCAGCATATTTGTCCTATTTTCACAGACCAACGCAATACAAAATTAGCATGACAGTGACAAACCCAACCACAATCATCCAATGCAACACACAATTAAGAGTGCCAGAAATAACAGAACTGTACAACAGAGAATACAAATTACAATTACATTAACTGATATATTTGGTAATAAAGTCGTAATCATTTCGTAATACAGCTGTAATCTTTTAACTACAGTTAGTTAATTGTGTAACCATATAACAACATATAGTGTGCCACAAAAGGATTTAACAGGGCTGATTCAGAATTCAGATGATCATATTAACAACACGACAACTGAGCCTATCAAAACGCAGTCTGTTCCTGGTTACCACAGGAGGACACCCTGTCTGCTTAGTAAACCTCCGTATAGTACACAGACGCTGTGTTGCTACAGGCAACCTCCACATAATACAACACATGCTCTGTAAACCAAATATAGACTCAACCCTCTACACTGCGAGTAAATCACTCGCATATGTGACTAAATATTCACTCTGGGCCACTAGATGATGTCTAATATTAGCCAATGGCTAATAAATTCTCAGATTTTACTCGCCAGTGTGTGAGTTGCAGTGTTGCCAACTGCTTTCAATTGAAAGTAGCTAAAACTGGTAGCTAAATGTCACTTCGCTACATCATAATGGCAAATTCACTGATCTATATAAAAATGAATGTAGATCAGTGGGCAAGATGAGAACTTAGATAAGGTTTTGGGCAAGTAAAAATACAAATATAAACTCCTGACCTGACTGCACCATCAGTGAAAATATGTATTGTTGAGTGCTGAGATCTGCTGATTATCATTTGCAGCTAATAATATTTTTGCCTAAGGTTGGCAGTCCAAAACACGACTTTTATTTTTGCCTGAGAGATGTGGTTAATTCATACTCAAATCACATAGATACAGAGAGGAAAGCAAACATAAACAGATAAATTACACTTATGAATCCAAGCTGATTTCTGTGTTAATATCAGTTAACAGACAATCCCAACGAAATCCAATCAGATGTTTTTTACTTCCGCTGGACATGTCATCAGACCATCACTCTGAGAAGCAAACACTCTGGGTGCAAGAGGAAATTACTTTGCCATGCTCACTTACTAAGATTATCTTCGTAATAAGGACTGAGTAAACAGTGGAAGAAGCAGATCTAGACAGAGGGACAGACATAAATAATTTGCTAAATAAAGACTACAATCCCCTGGTGTATTACAGAAGTGTGTGAGAGTGAGAAATAAGGACCTTGAGATACACCGGCACTCACAAAAGGGATACATTTGCATATTTTGTATGCCAGCTGGTCATCGTGACTAGGGATGTAACGATTAACCGCGAGCCGGTTGAAAATCGATTCAAATATGTGACGATTCAAATCGGTTGAGATGCTAAACAAATCACGATTCATTTAGGGGTAGGAGTTTATATGAATGCATGTGTGAGGGGAACTTACTGTCTTTAGAAAAGTTTAGATGGTATTTTTTCTTTTCATCTTGCCTCTGTAAAATGCATATTAAAGTTCATAAGTGCAGCGCTGCTTTGATTACAGCGGAAACCAAGGAAACGCTTTAAGCGCCACCTGCTGGCAGAGAGTGAATCTGCATCTCATTCAGCTCGTCTGCTGTTTCTGTTTCATGCAGATATTTTTATATGTAAGTCAAACCATTCTGTTTTTTGCTTCAAATTTAGAAATTATACAATCTAATTTAGATTAAAAACTGCTCATGTTGCATGTATGCAGCATCTTTGTTTGGATAATGATTATTATTATGTTTAATGATTATTAAACATAATTATATCATTGTTTGGAAATGATTGCCTCTAATTTTAAATGGAAAGAGCACAGACAAAGCCTTATTTTGTTTATATGAAGATTAGGGCTGGACTATATGGCCAAAATTGATATCACGATATATTTCTTAATTTCGGTCGATACGATATAATTCCGATATCGATATGAACACTATTTATCTGAAATAGAAATCTTTTGTAACATTATAAATGCCTTTATCATCA